ACGAAGAAACTACTTCCCTTATAAACTGTTTGCAAAATACTCTTCAGACGTAACTATAGCTTCAGATAACAAGTATTAAAAAAACCCTCTAGGTAAGTGCTAGTGTTGTTGATCTCACGCACACACGCACACACAAAGAAAAACATTCAAGAACAAACATCTTAATATATAAAATATGCTTAGAAACAGGGAGGGAGGGAGGGTTTTGTTGTATACAAGTGCAATATAATTGGAGCAAAAAGAAAAAAAGAAAAGAAAAGAGAAAAGAAAAGAAAAACCACTGTATTGATCCCAACAAACACTTAAAAAGTGAGACATAATATTCCACAGGAAGAAGTGTAAACACTTGACTATAGAAACCAATTGGCACAAAGTATCCAAAGTAAAATTGCCACCACTCAGAAAAATAAATAGGTCTTGGGGAAAAAAAAGGTGTCTACTCCTTGTAACATAAATAAAAAATAGTGATTTGTAACTGCACCCATGGGTCACACGTTTAAGGTCACAAGTCGATGTTTTGTTTTTCAGGTTTTTTGGATCTATAAAGGGGCACTTGACAGCCTGGAAAGAAAAACAACAGCCCAATCTGATCTTACAGCTCTGTGCTAAAAATGGACTTTCTATATTGGGCCACCAAAAAATGCACTATTGGCGGGAGAGGATTTTTTTTCTTTTTCTTTAAAGAAACCCTTGCAAAATGATTCAAGATTATTTTTACACCCCCCCAAGAAGACTTTGGAAATGCATCTGCCCTTGCCCTTTTTCTTTTTTCCTTCTCTGGACAGTTAGCTGTCCTTCAACCCTTCCATGGCTGCAATTTCCCCAGCAAAGCACTTCAGCACCTGCTCATCTTTAAGCTAGCCAGCCAGTGCTTCAGGGGTTTTGGGTGGCCGGTGGGGGGAACTGAGCAGCCAAGGCTTTCCTCTGAAATACGTGCCACCTCTTCTCTGCTTGGAGGTTGGGACTGGTTCCAGTTTGGGGGTGAGGGGGGATGAACTGAACTCTCCCTCAGACAGGGGGGAGCATGGCCTGCACAGTATCCCAAGCCACCCTAGAGAGACAGCAAGGGGGACAACTTAGGGGAGGAGGATGTTGGCTGGCTGGCTGGCTGGCTTGAGGGGGGACGAAGGGGCGGGGGGGTCCTTCTAGCTGGCTGCTCAGCAGTTAAGGCAGATGCATCTCCAGGGTCTGGTCCCCCAGTGCTCAAAGCTTTCCCCAAGGCTTAGCTCCAGGCCTGGGGGTGGGGAGGAGAGCCCGCCCTCACTGAGATGTCAGGAAAAGCTCTCTCGGCGGAGGGCAGCGAGGCCCCGCACCAGGCTGGCCGGAGAGGTGGCGGGGACACGGGGAGGAGGTCGGCGGGCCTGGCCCTGCTCGGCGCAGGGGTGGGACTCAGCCCCGCCGCCTACACGTCCAGCACGTGGTTGAGATAGGAGATGTAGCAGATGGCGAGGCGCAGGATCTCGATCTTGGACAGCTTCTTGTCGGGGGGCAGCGTGGGCAGCAGCTTGCGCAGCTCGGCGAAGGCCAGGTTGAAGGCCTCCACGCGGATGCGCTCGCGCGTGGCATGGGCCGAGCGGTACTTGGCCGTGGCCCGCCGCCGCCGCCGCTTCTCCTCGCGGCTCAGCTGCTGCGGGTGCAGCGTCGGCCGCCCCCCGCCGCCCTCCTCCTCCTCCTCCACCGGCTCCAGGTCCGAGGCGCAGCAGCCCAGCGCCTTGGCCTCCGCGCCCAGCGACTCTGGGTCCGACGGCGCCGACGACGGGTGGTCCGAGTCCGCCGCCTGGTCCGGGCTCAGCATCATCGTGGGGGCGCGGGCGGGCCCTAA